CCCCAAAACCCCAAAACCCCAAAACCCCAAAACCCCATTGAAGGCTTTTATAGAATAAAGAGTTGGGATATCATTAAAAAATCAGATTTCCTCACACCATGGCGTTAGAATGAGTTATCATAAACACAGGAGTGTTCATTATTGAATATATACATTCAACGATGTTCATCTTGCTTGTCCTGACAAATCCCTTGATAAGTAAGTAGCTACTTCATATAAAACTTGCACAATTTATAAAAGTTCCTTTCGGATAATTACCATGCTCTGTATAGGTATAATATATCTCGGGAGGCACATTCTAGATCCCCATTTGTTCCTAATGTGGGTGTTTTTCAGCTGAACATTACATATTTTCTCCTACATTATCTATATCACAAGACCGGTGAACTCCCACCCAAATGCGATTAGAAGATGTATAAGGTACCTTCTACCAACAAAAATTTGGAGAGTTCTTCTATGTCGGAATCTGTACAAATAAAATGGAAAAATATTCCATTCTAACCCACATCTTTCATATGATAGGAATGGTAGTCTTCTCGCTTATTTTTGGCATATATATAAAGCCAGAGGTTGACTCTAAATATGGAAAAGATGATCCGGCTCTTAAAGGTATGCTAACCTATTGATTAACGAGTTCGATCATATTAGCATTAGACATATTTGTCATGGAGATCATGGTAGCACTTTCAATGCTCCCTGTACTACCTATATCATTTTGAATCTACTGCTGAGCATGATGCTGATGACCAAGAATCAAGCAAGCTATGAACAGAATTCCTGGACAGCAAAGATCAGAAGAGGATATCGATTTTCTGTTTCATTTCAGAAACGGAATGAGTTGGCAGCAGTTACTCCTCTATATCTACAAGAATAACAAGATTATTTTCAAAAAGGTCAACTTCAGGGAATACTTTGCTGACAAAGATTCAGAATTTCATCTTACCCCCACAGCCTGAACTCCGGATTTGAAGAAACAAAGAGAAAGATGAGAGAGTTTCCTAACTGGTGACGCTACCAGAAAGAACAGTGAGATTAATTTGATGGGTCGGGATGATTCGTCTATTTGTGGATCTCCAGATAATTCATTTACCCCAATCAGACCCTATGACTCCAAGCTCCGAGCATTCATGAGAGATATCGAGGACGAATTCAAATTCTCCGAAGAGGATATAAACTACACACTGAGCTTAAAGAAGTGTAAAGACGAGGTTCCAAGAGGTAAGCTTCCTATTGATCCTTTCTAGCTGAGTCTCCTCCAAAAAGACTTGAGGACAATTCCGTTAGCGGGGATTCAGACGGTTGGGATCTTAGTAAAGAACCTAGAAAATCAACGAAGGAGCCTGTGAGAAGAAAATCGATCATCAAAGGAAGACCTTCAATCAAAAAGATAGATAGAGGTATCCTCTGTACTATCTGTCAAGACGATCTTGAAGAAAACGATGTAGTTCTTCAGCTAGACTGTGGCAAAACCCATCTGTTACATTTTGGATGCCTAAAAGAGTGGCTCAGTTTCAAGTTTGAATGTCCAACTTGAAGGACGAATTTACTAACCTTGTACAAGGACAAAGTCAAAGAAGAAGCCCTAAGAAATAAAGAGATATCGGACGAAGATCGTCATCTCTATGCTGAAGATTTGATCCCTCTTAAGAATGCTAGAGATAGACTCTTAGCAGAGATCGAAGAGATGGAAAATGCACAAAAAGTTGCAATAAACTCATCTTTGAAGAAATAGTTAAGTTAATATCAAATCCTTTTAATTTAATAATTTCAAGTGAAATCATTCTTCTTGGGGTTTTGGGGTTTTGGGGTTTTGGGGTTTTGGGGTTTTGGGGTTTTGGGGTTTTGGGG